GTTGATACAAGAAATATGACACAAATTCATATATATCAGTAGAAAATATTTCAGCAAAAAATTGATATCCCAGAAAGACAATTTGTTGTAGCAAATGAATCTCAAATACGTTAGAAACGTGATTGATCAATTGGTTCAAAAAATTTTGTACCTCTAAAAAGAAAGGTACAGGAGAAAAACCAACCAAAATCTTCGGAAGAAGTAACATTAAAAAAAATGATTAATCGAATATTGAAAATATGATTCTCGAAGAACCACAAGTGTCCAAAAATAATGAGATTTCAATAAATTATATGTCATATTATAAATTATCGGAACAAAATAATGTTGTCTAGACAATATTTTCGCGATTAATGTGGTTCTTGATATTATGCAAAATGAGAAATCTGAACCACAGTTTTTGTCAAAGACGACCAACATAGAAATGATTGGGCAAAATAGAAAGAAGCCATACAAGCAAAATTGAATTCCATAGATAAACGAAAAGTGTTTGGACCTGTAATTTGAATACCTGAAAATGTAATCTCCGTTGGATATAAATGGATTTTTGTATGGAAGATAAATGAAAATAATAAAATTACAAGATACGAAGCCTGACTCGTAACTCAATGTTTCACAAAGACCAAAAATTGATTATGAAGAAACATATTATCCCGTAATGAGTACCATCACTTTTACATTCTTATTTAGTTTGACGGTGTTACAAAGTGCTAGGAACAAATGACATGTGTTTGATAACTACGTTCTCAATTAAATTGCAAAGATCATTATATAGATTAAAATAATACGGACGCATGTTGTATAATCGCTTTAGCGAGTATTTGTTGAAAGAGAGTTATAAAATGATGATAACTGTCCATGTGTTTTAAAAAAGAAAACAAATATTGGGTTTGCAATTGTGACAGTTTTTGTTGATGATTTAAATTTAATTGAAATTTCTAAAAAGCTTAACAAAATTACAAATTATTTGAAAAATGAATTTGAGATGAAAAATTTAGGAAAAATCAAATTTTGTCACAGGGTGCAGATTGAACATTTCCCAAAAGAATTATTTGTTCATCAATCTATATATACTGAAAAAGTCTTAAAACACTTTTATATGAATAATGCACATCAATTGGTATCACATATGGTTGTTCGATCATTTGATGTGACAAAAATTTATTTCGTCCACTTGAAGATGGAAAAAATGTTATGTGTCATGAAATACCATATCTTAGTGCAATTTGAGCATTAACTTCTCTTGCAAACTGCATTCGACTCAACGTATCTTTTTTCTATAAATTTCCTTGCAAGATATAACTTTACATCAATACAAAGACGTGAAAATTGTGTTAAACATATTTTTCGTTACCTAAATGGTACTATTGATTTGAGATTATAGTATTCTCAAAAGTCGAGATTTGCTTTAGTGAGATATGCAGATGCAAGTTATCTCTCTAATCTACGTAAAACTAAATCACAAACATGATATGTGTTTACATGTAGAGGAATAACTATATCATGGAGATTTTTGAAACAATCCTTAACAATAACATTCTTAAATCATTCTGAAATTATTACAATTCATGAAACATGCCGAGAATGTGTATGGTTGAGGAACATGACCCATCATATCAAAGCATCAAGTGTAATAATTTCAACAGAAGATAGTCCAACAATTTTGTATAAAAATAATGCTGCTTGTATTGCACTACTCAAAGAAATATGGTTGAGGAACATGACCCATCATATCTAAGTATCTTGCAGATTAATTTCAACAAAATATGGTCCAATAATTTTGTATGAAAACAATGTTATTTGTATTGCAAACTCAAAAGAGACTATATCAAAAGTGACAAGACGAAATATATTTTTCCAAAATTCTTTCACACATATGAGTTTCAAAAGAATGGCGATATCGATGTTCAACAAATTCGCTCAAATAACAATGTGGCTGATTTATTTTCAAAAGCAGTGCCAACATCTACATTCAATAGATTGGTTCACGAGATTGGAATGCCTCGACTCAAAAACTTTCAATAATCAATATCATGGGGAGTAGCTGAATTTTTTTTTTTTTTTTCCTTCGCTTAGGTTTTGTCCCACTGGATTTTTCATAACAATGTTTTGATGAAGTATCATTTATCTTTAATATTTCAAAATAACAGTACTCTTTTTCCTTCGTTAGATTTTTTTTGTCCCATTGAATTTTTATAAAATAAGGTTTTAACGATGCAAATATTTTGTAATGTATCATTAAGGAAGAGCGTTGTAAATGATAAGTTCATCAGTGAGTGACAATTGTACTCCTACAACCTTAGAAATTATTACCATTGTATCCTTAATCATTCCCTATAAATATAGGGTTTTGATTCTCATTATAATGCACACAAATTTATTGACTTGTGTTTTGTTTTCTTTTTTTCTCTCTTTTCATAATAAATAGAAAATAATTTGAATATTTGTAAAATGAGTTTGATGAGTGTTAAAATGAGTTTTTTTGGGAAAAATAAGTTTTGCAATAGTTATTTCTTTAAGAATGTATGGTTAAAAAGTAGGAAATTTTTTTGAATTTAAGGCCCTGTTTGCTACACATTATTTTTTTCATTCTCATTTTTCTACTCATTTTCAACCACACATTCTTCAATAAAATAATATTTTCCATCACATGAATAATTTTTTCTTCATTTTTAACCACACATTCTTCATCAATACACTATTAAATAATACATTATTTCAAAAGAATCCGTCTTAAACATAGATTAAGGGTGTGTTTGACCCACATTATTTTGGAAGAATGTATTATATAATAGTAAATTGATGGAAAATTTGTGGTTGAAAAAGAAGGAAAAATTATTGATGTGATGAAAAATATTATTTTATTAAAGAATGTGCGATTGAAAATGAGTAGAAGAATTAAAATGAAAATTTTAATCTGTACCAAACGGGGGCTAAGTATAAAATATTTTACGGAGAGTATAGGTGATTAAAACTGAATTTTAGAAGGATTTTTTTGTAGGATGATGGACAAATGGGGTTAAGGAGTTGTCAACGTTCATTTTGAACTCTCCTCTCAGTCAAAGCAGTTCTTAGAGTGGGGCCAAAATGTGGTCAGAGCTGGTAGGTTTCAGGTTCATGCATCTTCCCCCTTTGGCCTTTTCCTTTCTATCGAGAAAGCAATTTTTATATCAATGAGAAGAATTAACTCCCAAAAAAATCTCTCTTTAAGTAAAGGGTCCCAATAAATTCACAAGGGATTTCATAGGTCTTACCGATTTTTCATAACATTGATAGCGAAGTTTTCTGAGGAATATTGAAGAGCATTTCATCTATTACAGGTTCTTATTTTTTTCATATGCTTGATGTTTGATCGATTAATGCATTTTTTTAACGTACAGATATTTGTTTTTTTTTTTTTAAAATTTTTGAAGGCGATTTTACCGAATTGTTTGCTTATATTGGCTGTGAATTGTCAAGAACGCACTTTTGATCTATTTGGTAGCCACGAATATGTGTATATATTTCTTTTCATTTTCTTGTGGGTTTTGAGTATTCATATCAGTTCGATTTGGTTGTGCAAAGGATTCCAATGGGCTTCTTTTATGATTTACTTTTATAATTTTGTATTATATATGTGCATACTTGTTCTTGAGGAATATTTATCCAGATTTATTCAAATTTAATCATGGGATTATAATATATATTTCTGAAGCAATATATGGATGATTTTGGACGTAATCTGCAGTCAACTTGTTTTTGAAATTATGTTCTATCTGTGAAAAGTTAGTATGTGATCTAGAAATGAAATGTGGTGATGTTTGGCTAATCTTTGAAGTTCACTAATAAGAAATAAGTTTCCTATATGTTTGGCTAATCTTAGAACTTAATTTGACATTAAGACAAGAGTCACTTTCAAAACGAGTAACTTTTTTGCTTCAGGAAAAAGTAATTTATTCAAACGTGCTTGGAGATTGTCCAAATTGAAGTTGAACACATTGTAAAATCTTATAGTTGGTAAGTTTAATAGTATCAATGTTCTGCTGGATCAAAGTAGTGCCGGAAATTTTTTGCTCTACATTGTCTTTTGACAATGAAAGAATAAATTTATTGGTTGGATACATGGAATAGTTGAGAAAGGAAACAAAAAAGAAGGAAACAAATCATTTAATCTCATGCTATGCAGTTGCAGTTTTGTCGGGAGTTGGGGGGATTGGCTTTGAAGAAAATAGGAGGTTATTGTTGTAGAAGCGTTTCTGATAGTTGTTTGAAGAAATGAAGGAAGATGAGGTGAATTGGTACAATAAATTTAATGGCTTAGAATACTCAGTGCTCCTTTGTTAAGATGGTTATTGAGCATTAATTAGCCCAACCTCTTGTAAACAAAACATGTGGATAATGTATGGCTTATTATATACTAAAAGTTTTGAAATACACGTTTCGTTCTTACAACAAAACTAAAAAGTAACATTGTTTCATTATTGTTTGTTAGTAGAAACAAGATATTGTTTGCTTCTTGGCTTGTTGTATCCTAAATTCATTTTAACTTTTCCTCTTATGAAGTAAAAGTACGGTGGAGCTAGAGATGTCGGGATGATGGTCAAATAAATGTTGGAGAATAATGTTCCTTTAGTGATATTGCGACACAATCAGATCTTTTAAGCCCCATTTCCATGTTTATTTTTTGCACTTTTTCCATATTGTTTAACTGATGCTGCCTCAGGGTAACCAGATTTTTCTGTTGCACAACCTCGACATGCTTTATACAGCCAATTGCTGTGTCTTTGCTTTTACTCTGTATTTCCCGTTTCTTTACCCCTAATTCATTTTTATGCAATTTTTTAAAATCACTTTAGATCTAATTTGCCTTGCAGGTCTATTCTTCCATTTAAGTTGCAATACAATTGATGTGCATGTATTCATCCTTCTTATAGTCGGTTGCTTTGGAGAATGTTCTTCAAGGAGAATATCGTTAGGACAGCAGGGTTGTACACGGCCATTTGCCTTCAGGATAACCTTCTATGATGGAGCTTAATCGTAGTTACGGAGTTGAAAACAAAATTACTGCTGGAAATATTCAGCATGAATTTTGGCCATTGGATGTAATAGATCCAACAAAAGCAAAGTTCCCGTGTTGCATTATTTGGACACCTCTACCTGTAGTGTCATGGTTGGCACCTTTCATTGGACATGTTGGCATATGCCTGGAGGACGGTACCATTATAGATTTTTCGGGATCCAACCTTGTTAACATTGATGATTTTGCGTTTGGTTCTGTTGCCAGATACCTTCAACTAGACCGAAAGCAGGTACGCCTTGATAACTTCTCTCAGCTGACTTGGCTGCTCTTCTTTTCCTCTATCTGTGAATAGATTACAAACTCTATTAGTCGTGCAAAACTTATAGCGTTATTCACTTTGGTCGCAATAATCTTTTTCTTTTTCCTTGCCTCTTTTTTTTTTTTGTGTGTGTGTGTGTGTGTTAAAGTTTTGGTACTCCATTCTACTAAATTAAAGGAAAATGCTGATGTGACTAATGGAAATGATGACATGGCATGTAAAATCCGTTATTGAATTATTTATATCTTCCAACTTGGAAATATTGAATGTTGTTGGATAAGTTGTATTTTTGAAATGTGCTCTTATAAATAATGGAAAAAAAAAATAATAATAAAAAAAGCTCGACTTGTCCAACGAGGCACATTTTTGTCCAGTTGGGTGATAAGAATAATGTACCAACAGTTGTTTCATGCCACCTCATCAGTTCCATTAATTGAGTAGACAGAGTGCCAAAATGAAACAAAAATGAAAAGGTTCGGTGACTGAAATTTGATGACGTCATACATGACTAATTGTGCTTTTAACCATTGGTGAACGTGTTGTGCTTTTAACCATTGGTGAACGTGTATGTGAGAACGGGGGTGGACCCCGGGGCAGGGGTTGCCTGTATTTGCATGGACAAGCAAGAAATGTCCACACAAAATTATCATCCGTTCTCTGAATCTCACTTCCCTGTCAAATGAGCATAAATGTGTCATCTTTGCAACTCAATGTGGTCATGTTTCTGTTCAATCGGACTGGATAAAGTTTATGCTCTTTTCATCATTCCTACTGCCGGTGCTAATATACTACATACAATCCTCGCGTGTTTCTTTAAACAGTGCTGCTTTCCTCCAAACCTCGCTGGACATACATGCAAGCATCGCTACAAGCATGCCGAGTACGGCTCTGCAATCACCTGGGATGATGCCATTCAGTCAGCTGTACGTAACTTTGATCACAAATCGTACAATCTTTTCACTTGCAACTGCCACTCATTCGTCGCAAATTGCCTGAACCGGATTTGCTATGACGGATCAATGAGTTGGAACATGATAGATGTTGCTGCTCTTATATTATTCAAGGGGACATGGGTTGATAGCTTTTCTGTCTTAAGATCATTTTTACCTTTCATGGTGGTGCTATGCTTGGGTGTATTCATGGCTGGATGGCCGTTTATGATTGGATTATTTTCCTTTTCACTTCTACTCATTGGATGGTTTTTGTTGGGCACATATTGTTTTAAAAACCTGTTAGAATGTTAGATTCTCATGCCTCTTGTATGTTAAAACCATGATATTGGCTTGAAGAAGCAAGACATTTTAGCAATAGAAATCTTATCTTATATTAGTTCTACATCTATGAACTTTCTTTCCCCATTTGCGTTCGAACTTTCTTTATGGTTTTGTGTTGAGAGATAGGTGTTTATACACTGATAATGAGTGTATAGATTCAAGAACCTGGTGAATTGTTCCTATACCCAGATGGTCCGACAAGATTGCCGCAAGGCACACACTACCGAAAGTGTGCTAATGAAGTTATCATATGATGGTATTATTGTTGTATGCGCGCTTATGACAAGCTTGCTGGTTAAGTGCGCGGAAAACGAGCCTCAAGTCTACGCTAGGAAGATTTTGAATAATACTACGCTTGAAAGTCGTTAACTACTAACTAACGATATATGTTGAAGTAGCCTTCCATGGTCAGTCTGCCAGAACTTGCCATGTTCAGCAATACGTTATAGAAACAAGCGAAGTGGAAAAAATTACTTGCATTCTGACCTGCAACAAGAAATTATATGTCATTCTCAATAAATCGAGGTCGATGTAAATGTCAACTTCTCAAAGCTCCTTTAGTATAACAAGGGCTCAGGCCACCGACTTCTAACACAATCTCACCTTTATCAGCTCCCTTGCCATTGCTTTGCTCCAGTTGTACACCAAGTTTGGCTTTCTTAGAAACCTTCGTACTGAAAGTTAAATCATCCAGACAAAAAGCATACCATATTTCTACTCACAATATGGCCTCTCCATTTGATTTCCTACTCCGCCATCCGAAGAATCAAAGCTTTCAGTCAATTCCTCTCACTGCTTTCTCAACATCTGCAAGTTCTTCTGAGAGCTTGGTGATTTGACTCTTCAAGGTGTTAATCTTCTCTTCCACGGAGTATAGATTCTTTTCTACTCTCTCTCCTTTCTCCACTGGTACTTTTCTTTATCCAGTGCATACTTCTCCATTGAGGTAAAAAACTTTTTCACATTTTTCTCTCAATAGCACAAAGGAACCGCCCCAGTACACTATACCTTTCAGACTAAAATTGCTCTACGTAAATTATATTTAACTAACATCAATAAGTTACATAAAATCTCTGTCAATAATATTAATCAACAAGCTTGACATAGAAAAAACGTTATCACAAGTTAAACAACTAAATCCATATGCTCAGAAATGCTCTCTCTCCAGGTTATTCAATAACATCAGTTCTCGTCATCATCACGAGTTCCCAAATAATTTAACTTCATGCTCCATACTTTGGGGCCTTCCAGAGCTTAAGAGCTACTTCATGTAAAAATCTATCAGCAGGTATAACAAGATTTCCACCATGCTGCATCAAAGATATTCAAATGTTAGTGCAAAGTTGAAATAATAATGCAAAGTTTCAAAAGTACCATCAAAGATACTCCAAAGGAACTTGTGAAATCCTAGCCGAAGGAATAAACTTCCAAAAATAGTTCGATTTAATATAGTAGATAGACTATTTTACCAAATTTGCTAACTAGTAGAGCCTAAATCATAGGATCAACTTGAATTTAGAATTTAATCCAAATGCAAAATGGACAGAGATAGACAAATTACGATGCTTCTAAGTGAAGTAAGATTGACAAATCTTCTTAAGCACGTGATCACTGAAATACCATTTCCTTTTTCTAGATCATTTTCAGTATAACACCAGTTACATGGATACCTATAATTCTATGCCCTTGTCTGATATTTAAAACTCATTTTTCCCCAAACTCATTTTCAACTGCAAATTCTCTCAATAAAATAATTTTGCACGTTAACCCATAACATTTCCCAACTTTTTAACCATAATTCTCCTAAAAATCACTTTTCACATAATCTATTCTAAAAAAAATATACATCAAACATGCCCTGTGTGTGTAACGAAATAAGATGAAAATGATGATGCCAAAAGTGATAAAATTCCAGCGTTCACATCGAACACAACAGGTGTACTGGTGAAAAAGGCATATTAAGGCTTAGTCGAGCTAATTCATGGATTTGAAAGCCTTTGCAATTTTTTCTTATAGAAGGGAAAATGCTTCTGCTCATTAAAATTGAGAGGAGAAGATAAGTTTAATACTTGATATTATCCGCCTCAAACAATTCCTAGAGTACTTGTCATATATTGATTTGGAACTTAAATTGAACTGGCCTATCCAAATTACAAAGTGAAGGAATGAATATCTATGCAATAGTCGAATAGATGATTTTCATATGTATAAAACAAATTAAGTAGGGCTTTGTGCATGCCAAGCCCGATCATTCGTATTTTGAGCTTTGTTTGAGCAAGCATGAGTGTACAGCTGGAATCAAGATCGAGCCTGCTCAGCTAGTCAATCTGGCAGAGCCTGAGCCAGTAACAGCTCATGAGCTTGCAATTTCTTATTGACTCTTAAAATATTTATTACTTATATAAGTACAACTTTTAATATTATTTTCATAGGAAGCTAAAAATAAGCAATAATACTAAGGAGTTTAAGTTCAATCAGGCTTAAATAACACTCAAGTTTGAAGTCAAATTTTTATTTTTGCATTGATTAGATTTGAGGCTCAAAACATTAAGTTTGGTCTGGCTAAAATCAAAACCTTGTACATTTGTTTGAGCTTAGAAATCTTCCTGGTGTTCAGCTAAGATTGGCTTGTCTTCATCCTTAATATTAAGGTATATGTGCTCTGAATATCTATAGAAGCAGTAAGCAACTTCAAGAACAGTATAGCGACAAAAAATAATTTCAGTATGTACCTCAATAAAATCTCTAAAAGAAAATTCCACCACCATATCCTTACGTGTAACAGCATTCTGCCACTGTGCAACTAGAATTGGACCGTAGTGCCTGTTATCGAATCCATCAGATTGAGTCATAATGCATGGACAATTGACAATACCCATTAACTTTACACTTACCTAACATTCTTGTTTGGCTTCCCCCCTTTCATTGGGTAACTTTGACGAGGGAAAAGCTGTGAAAGTTCATTGTTAATTTTGAGTTTAGCATCAGAAACTACAAACATTGAATTTTCGTCGTCTAGGGCAGCCCCATAGCTCATTATAATAGACACATGCAACCGAGAACCAATATCAGTTTCCAGTTGTGCCATATGCATCAGCTCACCAACTAAATGGGTCATAAATTCTCTGTCTTTGAGATCATTTATTTTTTCATCAGCTCCAACATGAACAAAGATTAGATCAAATTGGTTGGTCTCTAGAATCTTTCCTTCTTGAAAGCCAAGCAATTTCAGCAATTCAGAGAGCCAGTAACAGCTCATGAGCTTGTAATTTCTTATTGACTCTTTAAAATATTTATTACTTATATAAGTACAACTTTTGATATTATTTTCATAGGAAGCTAAAAATAAGCAATAATACTAAGGAGTTTAAGTTCAGTCAGGCTTAAATAACACTCAAGTTTGAAGTCAAATTTTTATTTTTGCATTGATTAGATTTGAGGCTCAAAACATTAAGTTTGGTCTGGCTAAAATCAAAATCTTGTACATTTGTTCGAGCTTAGAAATCTTCCTGGTGTTCAGCTAAGATTGGCTTGTCTTCATCCTTAATATTAAGGTATATGTGCTCTGAATATCTATAGAAGCAGTAAACAACTTCAAGAACAGTATAGCGACAAAAAATAATTTCAGTATGTACCTCAATAAAATCTCTAAAAGAAAATTCCTCCACCATATCCTTACATGTAACAGCATTCTGCCACTGTGCAATTAGCATTGGACCGTAGTGCCTGTTATCGAATCCATCAGTTTGAGTCATAATGCATGGACAATTGACAATACCCATTAACTTTACACTTACCTAATGTTAGAATCTGTTAATTCAGCCTGCATAACAAACTCTGCCGAGCTGGCCTAGTGGCGTATTTTCAGGAAGCTGCCACACCTTATTTCTATTAGCCTTATAGAGAATCATTCTAGAAGTTTCTTGTATGTAATTCTTGTATAGACCTTGCCTTATATATTTCCCTGCAATGTAATAGTTCAGTAATTTGAATCAATTCAAATTTATCTCAAATTCTATCTTGGTATCAGAGCCAAATGGCTAACACTAGCACAGAAAATCAGTTCGGGCCAACAAACTCTGGAATATCTCCAGTCGCCCAAGCTGTTGTGAATCAGTATTCACCAGTTGGATTTTCACTCAATCAGACTCCTTCAATTAAGCTCGACAGGAACAATTTTTTGC